GAATAGATATTTTTATTTCATATATCATTTTATTTCTCAGTTTATAATAAGCAAATATTTGTTAGCATTCAAAACTATTTATATATAGTTTGAAGTTGATTTTCAATATACAAATACAAATTATATAATTAAATCGCCTATTTATTTAAAAACAATAAAAAAGGCTTATTTAATAAAATATTTGAAACAAATAATCGACATTTGGTTTACTCCCAACTTTCATAGACTATAAAACAAAATTAATTTCATTATATATACATAGTATAAAAATGATTTTTTTAAAATGACTAGTATTTGATAAAATTATAAATGCAAAAACTATTAATGTAAATATTGATTGGTTTTGATTATACGTCGTTATAAAGTATTGCAAGTCAGCACTTAATATATCAATTTTTAATTTTATTTTAATATTTACTATTTTTATAAATACGAAAACCCCTATAAATTAAACTACTAAATAATATTTCGATAAGTAAAAATTTTCCATATACTAAATTATTAAAAAACAGTTTATAAATAAAAAATGATGATTAAAATCAAAGCATTATAAGATTTATTAAACTGGGATTTCTTACACTTTATTATAAACATTTAAACACTAAATTAAAGTTTTTATTTTAAATTAAATATATATATAAATCTCAGGGTTTTTCATCTATAGAAAGATGAGGTCATTTCATGATAACTTAAGACAATTTCATTAATTATTTGACTTTATTTTATTGTTAGTCTTTAAATAAGTATTTATTTAGATTAAGATAATTAATTGCCTCAAAACATCTAAACATAATATTTGTTTGACTAACTAATTTAAAATTCTGTATATTGCTTATCTATTGCATCATATATTTGGCACTTTTATTTTATCATTATCACATTTGAAATCACATTTTTATATATTATTATACAATTTATTAAATAGCAATTCATATTTTTCAAAAAACTATCGATTGTATCAATACATTAATTATTGTCTGACATATAGCCTTACATAATATTTTTTCAAAATAGACTATCAATTATTTACAACATTCATAGATTGGTCAATAGCTAATGTACAGTACACTCAATGATGCGTTATTTAACTAATATTATAAAAACACAATTTAGTTTATTATCAAATATATACTTCAATAAAGCAATTAGTTTATTAAAATCATATTTATAATGTCTTTTAATGTATATTTTTATTTAAGATGTATTAATAAACAAACAAATACAGTATAAATAAATTATCGTTGGGTATTGTATAAATAAAATAAATTATAAAATTTTAATTAAATTAAATAAATTCAAATTATTGGAAAATAGTATTATTATAATAATTATTAAATTAATTTCTGATTTTTAAAATAATGACATTTTAAATTGAAAAACTTTAAATAAAACTCAATTCATCTGAAAAAAGGATTTGATATTTAACATACAATAATTAAAACTTAATATAGCTATAGATAAATCCTTTTTTTAAATTATAACTAAAAAAATTTGTTTAACAATAGGAATTATATTTTGTAATATATTATATTTACAAATTCAACAAAAAGTTTGAATTCTATAATTAATGTAAATATTAATTATATAATTTTTCAAAATGACAAAATCTTGATCAAAATTTTAATATGAAATATAAGGTAATTAACCATTTAATTATTATTATTGTTTAAAAATAACTTTTTTTATGATATGACATAAATTCCGATTAACATTAGTAAATATGGTTAAATAAATAATTGTTAATTACTTATTAACTAAAAATAGTACTTTTTTCTATTTATAATGAAAACAAAATCTTATTATAATAATTTGATTATATTTATAAATTATACTATTTGGTATAATATAATATACATTAATTATTTTTATGTAAATATAAAATAACAAAATTAAGGTAATCTTAATTATTGGTTAGATTAGGTACAGTATTTAAACTGTTTATTAAGTTAAAATATAAGTTAAATATTATAATTTTTAATATAATTAAGATATTTATTACTATTATAATAATAACTAATTATGGGTGATTCACATATTTCGTTCGCACTTGAGGGGAGGGGGTCGGCCAAAGTGAACTTTTGAGAACCAGAGGATGGGAGGGGTAGAGACCTTAAGAACTTTCGTATTTAGATATTTTAATTCTTAGCGGTCGGAGACTAGCGGTTATGAGATGTGAACGTAATTTGAGAAAAGTGAGAAAATAGTGGAGAGAGGGTCTAGATTTCTTAAAAGGTTCGAACGTAATATGTGAATCGCCCCTTTATTGAAATAAAATAATAATTTGATGTATTTAACTTATAGTAAACTTAATTATAATTAATTAATGATAATTCCATAGCAACTAAATATTAAATATTTTACTATTATATAATGGATGAGAATTACATAAACAATTTATAGCATCGCATTGTATTGTAAATAAAAAAAATCTATAAATTGATATTTTAATACTTCATTTTGATTGATTTTAATTATTCAAATAAAAAAATCTAATGTAAAAACAAAAAATAAATTCCTTAAATAAATAAAACTATGTTGACTTATAAGTATAGTATAATTTTTAATATTATTAAAAAAATTACACCCGCAAATTATAACTAAATACATAAAGTACAGTATATTACACAAACTATATATATATATTATATTAATAATTTAAAAATACTGTAAGTGCTGGTAAAAGACCCTCATTTCAAATTGTTTATTTCAAATATAATAATACAATTTGACCAATAATTTGCTAAACTTTCAATTGTTTTAAAACAAAATAAAACACAAACTTAATAAATATTTTGCTGACATTTTGCTTTTGGTTTATATAAAATGACATTAATTGCTCCGGAATTCAACAATAGACTAATTAGTTTTTGACCCAATTTTAAACATTATTATTATAATATATTTAAATGTATATTTGTTTGTAGCCATTGTTTTAATATTAATTTATTTATATATTTACACCAATGAACTCAAACAAATCCTTTACGGTTTGTATGATTACCACTAAAACAACACCAAAAGGCACTAAAATTTATATTTAAAAATATGTAATCAAATATTTATAGATTTTATGTTTTAAAAATTATTATATAATTTTTTTTGAGAAAAATCTTACCTTTAAATTTATAATCAATCATTTTATAGTAATACAAATGACAATCACAAGTTAACATAAAAGAGTAATTTATGTCAATTAAAATTATTATTTATTTATTTTGTAAATTCAATATTTTAATAACAAAGATAATACAGTAATAACTCGTTTTAACAGTAGTAACATAAAAAACAAAAAATGTAATTTTCATCCTTATTATTACATAATCATACGTATATCTCAATAATAATTTCACATAAATTATAGGATTGAAGACAAATGTTTAGCTAAACCACAATTAAAAGTCCAAAATCGAGTATAAATTTTATCAATAATTAGCACAAATATTTTTATATAATGCTATAATAAGATACATATTTATAGTATACTATAATTAAATAATAATTTAAAACTTTTAATTTATCATAAAATATAAACTCAAATTTTAAAACAGAGTTAAATCTTAAATCCTTAATCACTTTAAAAATATATCGATAATTTGTAATGTGTATTAATATTTAATTAAATATAATATGAAATAATTTTATTTAATAATTAAAAAAAAATAAATTGCATTATGTATTACAGTTATTTGTTTTTAACTAACTGGAAAATGCATTTTTATTATATTTTTTACTATTAAATGTATAAAGTATAATGATTAACAAAATTGTATGTAAAAATTAATTATTATAATAATAAAGTTATGATTTTCTACTATTATTATTATTATTATACAGTATTGTATTGAAATAAATTCAATTTAGTATTACCTCATAGAAACTAAATTTATATAATTACTGTTTTAATAATAATAATTTAAACAAATCACTGACTTTGTAATATATTTATGAATATATATTCATTCAATTAAAATAAATATAAAAATTAATAGGTGTTTAAAGTCTGAAATTTGCAAAATAATAATAAAATACAAATGATGCTAATTTATAAAATGTAAAAATCATTTTAATTAAATGTAAATTTTTCTACATATCTAATAATCTCTATTGTTAGTTTTTTATAACCTATTAATAAATTTGTTTAATTCAATATTTTCTAATCAATTGTATGCATAATATGATAATTGTTATTATTATTATTACATCTTAAACTAATTTTATTGGTAATGTTAAGATAGAAATTAATATAAACAATTGAGGATACAGTAAGAAATTATTGAAATATAAATAAATGAAAACATAGCTTAAAACCTGATAATCATTTAAATTTTATTGAGTTTTAACAATCAATTGTTAGTAAAATCTTTCTTTTTTGAGGTTATGTTTTGAATTTAAAACTTTCAAATTATTGGAATAAATAACAAATACTTTTTTCCTATTTTATTAAAAGGTTTCAATTAAATAGCCATTAAATTTATTATAATTTTAAAGATAAATAATATAATTGTTTGCAAATCATGAATAAAGAAGTTAAAGTAATATTTATTTAATATAATTTATTTTTCTCCCCAATCTATTTAGACATTAAATTAGTGAATTATTGAACAAATTATACAATTAATAATTAGTATAAATGATAAACTATATGTTAATAAAGTCATAAATCTAAGTTTAAACAAATGTGTCTTCAATTTATTGTTACAAATAAATATAATAATTCTAATAATAAAAATTATTGCAATATTTAGTTAGATAATAATTATAATTATTAGAATAAATATTTAAAATTATCAACCTGTTATTAATTAGAAAGTTAAAATTAAAATTTTTCGATATATTTTCATACGTAATAAAAAAAATTATTTTCCCTAAATATTTAAGTTTATATTAAAACTTTTATTAAATATTTAAATAACTAGAAATAATTTTAATATTAATGATCACTTAATAATAATTTATTTGTATTTGCAAACATTTGAGACAATATAATTTATTTGTCTTACCTTTGGATTTTGTATTAAATTAAATTTAAATTAAAGTATTAACCAATTATTTTTACAGATAATTTGATATAAATGTTGGCCCAAACACGAGATAATGTTCACACAAATAGCATAATACTGTTTAAGACAATAATATAAGTTAAGTTTTAAAAAGTTTTTTTTTAATATATGAAATCAGTTAATAGTTAAGTCTTTAAACGATTACTTGTTATACGATATAATTTATATGTATAATACACTTATTAATGATAACTAAATCTTTGTTGTTGTTATTTGAGTTGAATTAGATCTCATGGATTGTAAACTGGTATATCATATAAACCAAGTAAAATGTGATTTTTTAGATAAATTTTTTTTTGAGACATAAAAAGCACGTTTTGCTATATTTCACTATTTTTTCAATAACTTTCGTTCAAAAGTTTATTAACACTTTTCACTTTTGACGCTAACAACTATTATAACTTTGAAATTCATTTATTTATTGCATTCAAATAACAATTTATTGAAAGAGTTGTTGTATTCAATAGTTATGAATTGATTTACAAACTTTATGTATACTGTATAACAAATAGATTGAGTGATAATATTATTGCATTAATGCGTGCAATCAATAATTAACACATGTATTCATCGGATACACTGTTTGTCATATAAATGCTTACAAATACCAGTATCTATGATATGATAGACATTTGATTACTACGACCACAACAACTACACTACCAGTTTTGAACAGGTCTTACACCTCAATGATGAACAGCAACAGTAAGTTTGTCTGCAATACCATAAATGCTTAATATTTTATATGTATATTAATTATACTGAAGAAACTACTCTACAACCGGTTTTATAGTTAATGTGTCGCCAATAGCTCTGTAACCACCGGTGCCACTAAAAAGTAGTTATTTTTCAAATAACGTTCAATTCATTACTCAAAATCACAAACAACTTTACAAACAGCAGAATATTTCTCAGAATTTATAAAATAAGACTAAATTTATTACATATTTTTGTTATTTATTTTAAGTAATTTACTATTTGAAACAAATCCAAAAATAATAGATTAAAACAATTTTTCAATAATTGACTGGAAATATAAAAGATGCTTATAATAGAATTTAACATTAAAATATAATTTAAATTTGTTTTAATTTATAAATTTATAATTTTAATAATATTAATAAGTTTTTAATAATTATGATTACAATTTTTTGTTATAAAAATTTTCAATAGACAATACACTATCAATCATAATATTGAATAATTTTATTTATTAACTAACAAATTAATATAAAAAGAGTGACAAATATTAATCAAAAGTTTTTAATGAAAGTTAAAAAATATATAATCAAAGAAAAACAATAATAATATTTGCAATTTGGTATCCTTTATAAACTTATTTTTCTTTAATTTAGTATTAAATACAAAAATAAATTTTTAATTTAAAAACATATTCGGCTATGAAATAAATATTACTAGCAATGTATACCAAAAATATTTGTTTTAATAAATTTAATAAAAATAATTAAATATGATTAACGTTATTATTTATTAATAGCCTCTATATTATTCATCTAAATTTAAAACACAAATATTATGAATTACTCTCTCTATTATGAATTGAAATGTAATATTTATAATTGTTTCACAAACACTGATATTGTCGTCAGTTAAATAATTTTTTAATTACACCGTATTTTCATAACAAATATATGAATAAACATTATTATTATTAAATGTTTTATTATATGAAGTGATTCACTCTTTTATTAAACAAATTCAAAATAAAATATTTGCTTCCTTTAATATTTTAAATAAAATCTGTATATAATTTATAATAAACATATGCAATATATGCTAACAATATACTGGTTTATATATAGAGATTAATAGAGTACTTAACATCAATTAAAATAATAAACTCAAAATTGATATTTTAAATAATTAGAATAATTTAAGAATTATAATGAATTATAATTATGAATTTCTTATCTTAAAATAGTTTAATAATTATACTATAAATATAACAAATTGCATTTGCAAAACATATTGCATAATAGAAGATGATCATGCTAAATATTTAATATTTACTTTAAAAATGATCATTTAAAACTTTTTGCAATTTTACAATTTTCTAATTAAAAAATATTGTTGTTTTTCTGAAAATAAATACTGAAAAACAATATTTAATATGATTTTGTGTTTATGTTAAATATTAAATAAAAAAGTTAATTAATAATAATATAATTTAAACCACAATAATTTTAATCATAGTATAGTTATGTATTGTTGTCTGAAATACAGTATAACACAAATAGTTTTTGAGACACAAAATTTTAAGTTTATATATTAATATATTGAAAGTTAATTCTATATAAACTTACCGTAAAATCGTGTTTTATTTCACATATGAAATTTTAAAAAAATGAAAAATAACATTTTCATACAGTAAAAAACTTGAATTTTTTACCACCCCTAATAAATTAAACGAGTCAGTAGGGAAAAGTAAAATTGGGAAATAGGAAACTGTAATGACCGGTAATTAATTAATTAGTTATAACAGTGTTTAACAATAAATGACATTTGTATACATTTACAGTATTTTCATATACTATAAATCGGTAAATAGATAGCATATTCAAAGAGTTTGAAACAACTAGAGACGTCCAAATACAAGGGGTGGGAAATTATTATTCAAAGTAAAAAACTATATTTTTCATGATACAAAACTCGCATTATTCCCCATGACTTTGATATTTCCATATGGGAGAGAAAACACAATTTAACGGTATATTTTTTTTTTAATACTTATATTTTAATAACTACATGTGTATAACTACTGTATGTTACAAAAAGTTATTTTAATAATTTTGATTCAATTTACTTCACAATATTTGCGTGTATTGAATGTCATATTCAATATATTAAATTATTTGATTTAATAAAAGATAATTATAATTTTTAAAACATTTCAAATGTAAGAAAAGATATTTAATTTCCATAAAATTAATAATAAGTTTTTATTTTTAATTTATACTTATTTTCATAATTAAGATAAGTCATTTATTTAAAATAAATATACATTAATAATTTACGTATAGATTTTTTTTAAATTAAAAAATATCAATAACAATACTGTAAATAAAATAGTTAATTTATTGTAAACAAAATTGTAAACATTGTAAATCAAAAATAAAATTACTTAAAGATATTAAAAATTAATTTATAAGTTTTCATTGCATTAATTATTTACACTTTTTGTGAAATTATTTATTAAAATAAAGTTTAATCAAAATGACAATAAATATACACAATTTTATTATAACATAATTATTGAGGACAACTACTTTAGGCTTTATCCTCGTTTATTAATTGGCTATTTTACATGTCATAAACTATTTGTTATATTATAATAATTTATTATAACTTTTGTAAAAATTATTTATCAAACTAAGCCCTCAGACTTTTTTTTTATTAAATACATATTTAATATATAAACTATCATTTGAACGAAACATTTTTTTTTAAGTCACAACTTATTATAATATTAAAGAACTGTTGTAATAATTATTATTATAAATGTTATTGAAAATTACAGTATTTATTGTAGAAATTTATACAATATAATTGTGTTTAATTAACAATTGATATACAAAATTATTTTACAATTAATTACTTCAACTTTTTATAAAACTTGAATAAAAATAATGTCAAGAATGGCATTTAGTGAGCATTTAATGGTCATTGATATCAATATGTCTGAAGGCTTTGTATTTTTTGTTTATTAGATAATGGCCTCAAACGGACTAATTTTGTCAGAAAAATATAAAATAAATAATTTTGTTTATGTCTGGAATTTAAGTCAAATTATATTATAATTTACAAATATATTATTTAAATTACATAAATATATTAAATAAAGTTGTACTCTATAGAAAAGATACTATTTATTGAAAAAAGTCAAAAAGTATATTATATTATGTGTTAAGCAATCAAATATTTGCTGAGAATTTCTAGTAAAATATTTAATGCAATAATATTAATACCAAACAGTATTTGTGATAAATTTTAAATCAAACAACACTTTTATTGTGTTTATATAAAACTAGGAAACAATAAATAAAATTAACTGGGATTTGCATAATAATTATATTATACAGTATAATCGTATCGTTTATATTGTTTTATTGTATATTACATTCAATTGCATCGTCTATATATTAATACAGTATAATTGTAGGACAATAAAACTTATAATTATAACCATAGAAACACTTAAGCAAACAGTTACAGCTAATTATCTCATGTTATTACAGTTTATTATTTTAATATAATTTATAATACTTTTATAAACTTTTATTTAAATATCTTTAGAATAAAAACTACTTTTAAAATCATCAAAAACAATATTGTTTTATAAATTCACATTTATAGCCATATTATATACTTATATAATGTAAATATTTAAAAAACTTTGTTAATTACTGATAATAAAACTTTAAAAACATGAACTATTTTTAATTGTACCAAGTGTATTTAGATAAATACAAATTGTCATTTATTATTTATTTATTTATTATGTCAAAATTTGTTATATAATTTGTTAATAATATTCATTTCGTAATTTACAAAATCACAATTTTTAATTTAAAAATTTAATGTCTATTTTAATTAATAAATTTGTTAAAATTTATGAATAAATTTAAATAAAAATTAATTGTTAAATACATATCAAATTAATCAAATTAAAATATCAAATAAGTGCTTATTTGTTTGTAACATTTACTAAAATTTTATTAATGTGTTTGTTATAAATGAGTAAATTAAATTATTTGGAAATAATTGTGGGCGGATTATACTATCTATAGATTATTTCAATTTATTAAAAATGGTTAACAATTTTTATTTATTCAACATTATATGAAATGAAATAAACATTTATTACATAACATATATGTATATGAATTTAATATTTCTTATTTAATATCACATTTTTATTTATTTAATACAGCAACAATTTTAATTAAATTTATTT